TCTGCTGATTTCTACAATTGTAAACAAATTTCCAATTCTGCTGATTTCTACAATTGTGAACAAATTTCCAATTATTTCTGCTGATTTCTACAATTGTAAACAAAATTCCAATTATTTCTGGTGATTTCTACAATTGTAAACAAAATTCCAATTATTTCTGCTGATTTCTACAATTGTAAACAAAATTCCAATGATTTCTGCTGATTTTTACAATTATAAACAAATTTCCAATTATTTCTGGTGATTTCTACAATTGTAAACAAAATTCCAATTATTTCTGCTGATTTCTACAATTGTGAACAAATTTCCAATTATTTCTGCTGATTTCAGTGCTTTGGATCCTCCTTTCTCCTGCTAAAATTCCAGGGGGAGCCTTTTGTGTTTTATTCCGTTAAATATTGAATTTTGTCCCTTTTTTAGTGCATTTTATTCTGTTCAATATAGAATTCTGACAGTTTATTTCATTTTTCTCTGTTAATTGTAGAATCCGGGCCCTTTTTTATTTCATTTTTTCATTTTTCATTTTTTCTGTTAAATACAGAATTTTATTCTGTAAAATATAGAATTCTGACCCATTTTTATTATATTATATTATATATATATTATATTTATATTATATTATATTATATTATATTATATTAATTATATTACATTACATTACATTACATTATATTATATTATATTATATTATATTACATTATATTATATTATATTATATTATAAATATAATATATATTTTTATGTCTATATATAATAAAAATACCTTATTATTTCATTCTGGTTTTCCACACATGTGTCAACTATATATATATATATAAATACAATATATTAGATATCATATATTATATTATATATTATATAATAGATAATATATAACATATAATATATAACATATAATATATAATATAATATATAATATATAATATATAATATATAATATATAATATATAATATATAATATATAATATATAATATATTATATATAATATATAATATATATTGTGTATCTATAATATATATTATACAATAAAAATGTATAAAAATATATGTAATATAAATATAACATATAATATATAATGCAATGCAATGCAATGCAATGCAATGCAATGCAATGTAATATAATATAATATAATATAATATAATATAATATAATATAATATAATATAATATAATATAATATAATATAATATAATATAATATAATATAATA